ATCGGAGCCCGCGGGCGCGGCGGGGCGGCGGCCCCGGGCAGGCGCCGACCCCCGGCAGGTGAGCGCGGCGGAGCGGGCGCCCGCGGGGCGGGGACAGGGGACTCTCGGCAGTTTCCCGGGCGCCTGGGAAGTGCCGGAGGAGGTGGGCACCCGGAGCCCCACGGGCCGGGCTGGAAGCTTCCACCCTCGCCCCACGCCAGGAGCTTCCTTTCCTGCACTCGCCAGAGTTTCCAGGCTTGCCCAGAGAAGGGGAGAAGGCGTGCACGAGGGGAGGGGACGCCCCCAGAGGTTGGCGTCGGGGATGTGGGGTGAGTTTGGAGTGCTGAGAGGAGAGGGAGGCCCCTTCCCTGCCCTCACCGTGAACCTTTGCAATGAAAGGGTAGTGTCAGTGCCTGCTTCCCCAAGGCCTGTTGCGGGGTGGGCAGGGATGGGGTGGGGTGTGGGCAGACTTTATTCAGAGGAGGCCCAGCAGCGGCCTGACTGAAAACCAGAGGTGGGATTAGGTGGTGGGAGAGCCTTTCCTCTACCTGAGTCTTTCCAGAGCGTCTGTGTAGCTAGAGGGCCCGATAAGGTGCTGTGTGGTTGGAGCTGGCTATGGGAGCCCGTTTTGGTCCTTAGGGAGAACCAGGGCTGAGGAAGGCTGTGCTGAACCTACAGATACAGGCCCTGGGGAAGTTCTTCTACATCTGGAAAGGCCTGGAAATCAAGAGGGCTGGGTTTGAGCAGCGTGCCTGCTGGGCCTTCCCCCGGGTCCGTGAACTTTCCAGAGACTTTTAAATCATTTTGCCAACAAGGGCAGAGGCAGATAGACCCTGGGGGATGAGGTGGCTAAGGAGTGGCCAGGAAGAGAGTTGGGCAAAGCAGTGGGCAGAGCCATTCTTGAGGCCAAGCCTTGGCTTCCAGACTTCGGTTTGAAGGATGGGGGATTTGGGAGGGACTTGAGGTCTGAGAGACAGACACTGGGCCTGGGACTGTGGGACTTGGGGCTAAATGGGTGTGAATTTGGCTGTGGGAAGGGGTTGTGTATGGAACGGTACATCTGTGAGAGATCGAAAAGGACTCAGGGGAGGAGGAGGTCAAGAGACTCAAGAGCCTGAAGGCAGAAAAGGGATGTGGTTCGCGCTTTTGGAATTCATGGTGAGGGGTTCCTGAGCGCAGAGGTTTGGGGGAACAGATAGAAGTTTTGTGGCTTGGAACAATGCCTTCCGGTATCCTGCTATACTAGCCTGGCATAGGGGAGCACCAGGAGCCCTGCAAGTCCTCTTGGTGGGCAGCGCCTGACAGGGCCCAGGCTGGGATGGTTGCAGTTGGTTGAACAGAGCTCTAAAGCGATCCCCTTGGGAAGTCAGTGTTCTCCAGGGGTCATATGCTTCTCTGAGAGTGTCGGCCCCTTCCTCTGTGGGTATGAGCCAGATGCGAGGATGTGCTTCCAGGGGCTGGGAACACGGCCAGACACAGGTCCTTTGGGAACAGAGACCTGAGCCAGCGGTGGTGGTGGGGAGATAAGAACGGAGAAGGGGACTGGAGAATGGGAGGAGGCGGAAACAGAATGTCATGGCGTGGGGGGGCTGTGACAAAGTGGGAACTGTGCACTCTGTGTTCTGTCCCCAGCAGCTCTGGAGACTGACGGCAGGGGACATAGGGCTGATAGGCAGGCATCTGACCGGCGGGACGGAATCATGTTCTTCTTGCTCATGACTGTTGTCTCTCCATCTCTGGGACACTGACAGAGGTTTGCGTTCGAAGGTTCGAAGGTTCGTAAGGTGGGAGTAATTGGTGCTTACAGCGCACAGCACGGTCGGGGTAGTAGATTGTCTCACGCTCACCCACTTTTCAGGTGAAGAAACTGAGGTGCGGTGGAGGCAGGTAGATAGCAAATCGCTTGGAGTTTTGAAACCTGGTCTTGTGCCAAATATCATGCTTCCAGCGAAGTGTTTTGAAGAGCTAGGCTTTCTTTGGTGACCTTTTCCAAATGCCAGCCTGACCAGAAGTCTTGTACTTCTGACCTGTCCTTCAAGATGGAGCTGTTGGTGGTAGGAAGTTCAAGGGCGTGCCACCCTGTGGAGGCAGAAGGGACAGTGGCTGGGGGAGACCCAGAGGTGGAGCAGAAAGCCCCGGGCTTTCCTCCTGCTTTGGTCCCTCTGGTAGCTGATCAGAGCACCCTTCCAGGTGGTTCTGCGGCCACCTGGGGCAGGTGCCGTATAAGCTTCACTCTAGTTCCCCAGTGAATACAAATGTCAGTGCTGCCAGCTCTGCAGGTTGACATACAAGGGGCCCCTCAGGGTGCCTGTCAGGGTGCCCTGCAGGCGCGGAGGGGTTTGGCCCTGGTGATGATGTCCCCCATGGGTGACATGGCTTCCATGCTCATCTCCTGCCCCACGCTCAGCCGGAGACATGCCCTGGGCTGGGGTAGGAATCTAGGCTCTAAGACTGATTTGGTTGTCCGGAGAGTCGTGGAAAATGCCCCAGGTATCAGCTTTCGTTTTTCTTCTTCAAATCTGTCCTGTTCCCCAGCTTCACAGGCCCTTGGCGAGGAGCAGGTGGAATTAGACAAGTGAAAAAGATCTCAAAAGCTCATGACAGGGAGAAAATACAACATAGCTAATGACCATCCGTCCACTCAGCAAACATCTAGGTGTGGTAGACCCCATGGTACGCAAAAAAACTGAAATCCTTCCCTGCCTTCACGGGGTTGGCATCCCAGTTAGGGGGACAGACAATGAACAAGTAAGAAAAATTATAGAACAGCAGTTGCTGATAAGAGCTGTGGAGAGAGAAAAATTATAAAGCTGGGAAGAGAGATACGGAGCCCCAGGAAAGGGAGTTGCTATTTTAAAAGGGTGTTAAGAGTAGCGCTGATAAGGGACTTGGGCTGTGACCTAAGGGAACTCTTGTACCAGATGGCAACAGCAAGTACCAGGGTACTGGCCTGGGCCGAGCCCCGTGTCCTAGGGGAACAACAGGCACACTGACGTGACAGGTGCAATGAGGAAGAACTGGGGGCTGTCATCTTTGGCAATTATTTGGCATTGACTGCTCCATAGCACCCATGCCCTTGAGCTTGTCTGCTCCCCATCTCTTTGTCTGTGGTGGTGAAGGTGGAACTCAAGGCCGTGCGCGTTGTAGACAAGCATTCCACTACTGAGCCACACTCCCGTCCTTTTATCTTTTTGTTATTGAGCACCCACTGTTTGCCAGACTCCATACCTCTAGAGACAAAGTGCTAACAAAAATATGTATAATTTCTACCCTCACAAAGCTCTGTCCTAGGGACAGAGGCATACATTAAACAAGGAATGATTTAAATGGCAATAAGTATGATGGAGGAAATGAACAGACGTTAAACTAGACCAAACTTAGTCTATGGGTGGGGCTGGGAAATCTTCCGAGAGGAAGTAACACTTCAACTGTGACCTGTGGGAGAAATTGAATTTAGCTTGCTGGTGTGTGTGCGCGTGTGTGTAGGAAGGATGTGGAAAGAGTCCCTTTTGTATAGAGGTCACCGATTGACAGTTCATGGCACAGCTCATTCCACGGACAGAATTTATTTGACTTCTGTGTAGCATTTTGTTTGTTTGTTTGTTTGTTTTCTGAGACGGTTTCCCTGTGTAGCCTTGGCTGTCCTGGAACTCTCTCTGTAGATCAGGCTGGCCTTGAACTCAGAGATCCGCCTGCCTCTCTGCCTCTTGGGCGCTGGGACTAAAAGTGCGACACCACTGCCTAGCTCTTGTATGTAGTATTCTAAAATGTATATTAACTATCCACATTTCAAAAGTGGGAGTTATCATATTGGAATCCTAGGTTTTCTTTGGCTTTTGCAGAAGAAGAAGGAAAAAAAAAAAAGGTAGTTCATGAGGGCACCAGTGACACCAGCCAACCGGTGTGAGGGGTCCTTGTATTCCCCTCCACCCCAGTCTGCAAAGTGTGTTCATTGCCGTGACCTTGACTGAATTTGTGGTGATCAAGAAGTCAGTAGTCACTTTAGGGAAAGGGTAAATTGTTAAGTGTACTGGCTTTCAGGGTCTAAGTCAAACTTAGAGTCTTGGTTTGTTTAAAAAAATGTTTTGTTTTGTTTTTTTTAAATTTACTTTTGTTTTACATGCATTGGTGTTTTGCGTGCATGTGTGCTTGCGTGAGAATGTCAGATCCTCTGGAACTGGATTCATAAACAGTTTTGAGCTTCTGTCTTGGTGCTGGGAATTGAAGCTAGGTCCTTTGGTGGGTTCCGAGAATCTTGGTTCTTTTACTTGTGAGGTTGCTGTGTCCCGATTCCTTACCTGTTGAGTTGGAGATGCCTCCGCCTCCCACGGGGTCGTTCGATCAGGATGGTAGGAATAAGGAACAGAGCTGTGGGAAATGCTCATCCTAAGCTACTGTGGTGGCTGTGGCCACAACGGTGACATTAATACCATCCCATGCCTTTCTTCCCAGCAGCATGTCATGGTTTAGTGGCCTCCTGGTTCCCAAAGTGGATGAACGGAAGACAGCTTGGGGCGAGCGCAACGGGCAGAAGCGCCTGCGTCATGGGAGTCGGGCCGGCTTCTGCGCACCCCGCTACATGAGCTGCCTCAAGAACCCGGAGCCGCCCAGCCCCACTCCTGCGGCTCAGACTCGCTGCCCCTGGCAGGATGAGGCCTTCATCCGGAGGCCTGGCCCAGGCAGGGGCATGGAGCTGGGGCTGCGGTCAGTGGCCTTGGGCTTTGACGACAGCGAAGTGACCACCCCGATGGGGACAGCTGAAGTGGCGCCTGACACATCCACGCGGAGTGGTCCGTCCTGCTGGCACCGTGTGGCGCAGGTTTTCCGGTCTAAACAGTTCCGCTCCGCCAAGCTGGAGCGTCTGTACCAGCGGTACTTCTTCCAGATGAACCAGAGCAGCCTCACCCTGCTCATGGCGGTGCTTGTGCTCCTCACAGCTGTACTGTTGGCCTTCCACGCCGCGCCTGCCCGGCCCCAGCCTGCTTATGTGGCCCTGCTGACCTGTGCCGCCACCCTGTTTGTGGCACTCATGGTGGTGTGTAACCGGCATAGCTTCCGCCAGGACTCCATGTGGGTGGTGAGCTATGTGGTTCTGGGCATCCTGGCTGCTGTGCAAGTCGGGGGTGCCCTGGCGGCCAACCCCCACAGCCCCTCAGCAGGCCTTTGGTGCCCCGTGTTCTTCGTCTACATCACCTACACGCTTCTTCCCATCCGCATGAGAGCCGCCGTGCTCAGTGGCCTGGGCCTTTCCACCCTGCATTTGATTTTGGCCTGGCAGCTCAACCGTGGCGATCCCTTTCTTTGGAAGCAGGTAGGTGCGATGGAGTGCGCCCGGTGGGAGTGGGAGGGGGACTGGCTGGGGAGGGTCACGCTATGGGGATGGCTAGGGATATCGGTGTCCCGGCTTGTTCTAGTGGGCTGAGGAGAAGGATGGTGCCAGGGCCAGGTCTGTGGTCTGTCACAGTGTTCAGTTCTTTGGCCTAGGCCCGTAGTCTGTAGTAGCGTGCAGTGTGCAGACAAGCCATGCGCAGACCTGGCCTCTCTGACCTCTTGTTGACCCCTGAGTCTCAAGCCCTGCTGTTAGCCCCTGAGAAACATCTGTGTGTAGTTGTGTGAAGCTTCCACAAGCAAGGGCCCTACTCCTTGCTGGAGGCTGTGGGCTGTAGCCTATCATGGCCTCACAAGCAGAGAGAAGGCTGCCTGGGGCTCCTGGGGTGGGAAGCTGGGTGCCCTGGCAGGACGCCCTTTCCAGCCTGGAATGGGAACACACCTTTTAAAAGTAACTTTATAGCTAGTATGTTGTGAAGCAAGTGCCCAGGAGGCCAATCAGACCTCTTAAAGGGCCAGACCCCTTCCAAATGGGTTCCTAGGTTCTCTTCAGGGCTGCCTGTGAGGTGGGGGTTTGGGGTAAACTGCTCAGGAGTGGTGCCTCCCTTCCCCCCTCTGTCAGACTTGCCAGAAGGTGGGTGTGTGACTCTTCCCTGCCTTCAGCTGGCGGGCTGCCCAGGGCCCAGCCCTGGGCCTGACGGGGAGGCTGAGCCTGGGAGGCCGGAACTGCCAGCCTCCCACCTCTCCAGGGTGCCTGGCTTCAGTTTCACCCCGTGGGGTCTCCCCTGATGCATTCCTGGGATGGTGGAGAGAATCGTGCCACCTGTGCCCACATGTGGGGCTGTGACTGCCCATTCAGCATCTCAAAACTGAGACTGATCTCATGTGCCAGTTGGGGCCTGTGTGGAGCAGGGGCTTGTAGCCTCCCTGGGCAACCCCTTCTCAGATCCAGCCCCACTTGTGTCGGTAGGAAGAACTCTTTTTTTTCCTGATCCACTCGATCACACAGGGCCACTGATCAGGCTGGGCTCGCCTGCCTACTGGAGCCTGGGCATCCATTTTTTCCTCACGGTAGACAGGGATGTGTGTCGAGGGCTATTTCAGTCCTTGGTCCCTCTTCCCCTTCCCTCCACTGTGACTCACATTTTCCTCTTGGGCTCTTGGGGCCAGGAAGGGAAGTTGCCTGGATAGCCCCCCTCCAACTCCCCCACTGGGGGCTATTCTTAGAAGCCCCCAAGGGAGATAGCGTGCCCCTTCTTCACCCCAGCCGCAGAGAGGGAAGCTCTCGAAGCTGTGTGGACTGGGAAGGGCAGCTGAAGGCCAGTCCTAGAGGGTCGGGGCTAGGAGGCAGCCAGACCTCAGCTTTATACAGAGGAATCAAAGATTAAACGTCCTGTCCAAGTCTGCAGGCCTAGTTCTGGATCAGGGCAGTTGGTGAGCATTCCCTCCCTTCTCCCTAACCATAGCCCTGCCCCATGCAGCTTGGGTGGAGTCCCAGTGCCACGTTAACCCCTGAGTTTCCAGCAACACTGAGGTGGCTTCCTTTGGCTTTGCTCTCTAGTCAGTTCTGCCCACACTGATTTGGGATTGGCTCTGCTGAGGGTGGGGGCATGAGGTCCCTCGGAGGTTTGTGTGTAAGAGCTGGTAGGAGAGAGAGAGGAAGGAGGAGGAGGAAGAGGGGAGAGACGAGGAGGAGAATCATACTTTGTAGTAGGGGTGGCCTTGCCTTCTTTCTATTAGGAGAATTGATGGCTGCCAAGCCTGGGCTCTGAGTCTGGCCTTCAAGAGCTAGAGTCAGTGTAGAAAAAGCTCTCAGAGATCTGGACTCTATTAGACAGCAGGCTTCGGACAAAGGCTCTGGAGTCTGATTGTCCAGGATTCTAAGACTCATGTCAGCCACAACTCACTGTGTGATCTTGGGCAAGCTACTGTGCTCCTTTGTGCTTGACTCACTCAGTTGTGAAGTGGAATTCTGTTACCTGATTCATAGACATGTAGGAAATCCAGCAGGTAATATATGGAACACATCCTTCGAGCCCTAGGCATTGCCCGGTGGCCAGCAAGGTGGCTACTGTAATGGCAGTAATATTGGCTTATGCCCGTGACCCTGCCACTTGGGAATCTGAAGCAGGAGGGTCACTGAGTGTGGTGAGGCCAGCTTGGGTTACATAGTGAGACCCTGTCTCAAAATTCAACCAACCAGAAAATAATAACATCACAACCTGATAATGGCCATTTTTGCTATTTGGTCTGCAGGGTGGGGGGTGGTTGGAGATATTTTCTGCCCCCCCCCAATTTGGGTTTTAGATGAGTAAATGGGAGCCTAGAGAGAGGGGAGTGACTTGTCTGCAGATGTCCGTGGCGCTGCTCTGTAAGGAGGACCACACACAGAAGGAACATTTGTCTTTTGTTAGAGGTGTTTGTGGGGCAGGAGATTATAGGATGCCAGGGTTGGGCCCATGACCTGTGTGGCTGTGGTTGGTGTTTCTGCTCCTGAAGCTGTGAAAAGCTCATCTCTCTGGTCACGGAACAATCTAGGCAGGCTGGGATCTGTAGGGAGGAACAGTGCATCAGAGGGATGGCGCAGCATGGGGACAAACAGGGTGCAGGATCTTATTTCCTGCTCAAAGTATGTCCTGAGAGAGCTAGTATGTGTGTGTGCGTGCGTGTTTGCATGTGTGTGTGTGTGTGTGTGTGTGTGTGTGTGTGCGCGCGCGCGCGTGTGCGCGTGCCTGTGTGCTGGGGAGGCGGTCACTGACCTACCTCTGCCGCCCACCCGCCTGCAGCTCGGTGCTAACGCGGTGCTCTTCCTCTGCACCAATGTCATCGGCGTCTGCACGCACTACCCTGCCGAGGTGTCTCAGCGCCAAGCCTTTCAGGAGACCCGAGGCTACATCCAGGCGCGGCTGCACCTGCAGCATGAGAATCGCCAGCAGGTGGGGGCCGCTTCCCTTGGCTAGGGCATTCCTTCTCTTCACATCCCCGCCCCCTAGTACCTTGTAGATTAGTCCAGTCTGTGGCCGTGGAACACAGAGTGAACGGTCCCCAAGGACTGTGCGTCCCGGAGGAGAGTGTAGGAGTGCTTTGGTGGGTTAGAGACGGCTAGGATGGATGACTGCTGAGGGCACGGTGAGGCGGGTGTCAAGCCAAGGTCCAAAAGGGAAGCTCAGGTCACAGAGATCCGGGAGGGCCCCGGGAATTCGAAAGGAGCAAGAAGGATCAAAATGGAAAGCAGAGAGGATAGTGCTTGGAACCACCGGTCTAGGAACGGCTGCTGCTGTCGGTGTTGCCTCAGCACGTTGCCATGGAGATGAAAGAAGACATCAACACAAAAAAAGAAGACATGATGTTCCATAAGATCTACATCCAGAAGCATGATAACGTCAGGTAGAATGGGGACAGGGCAGGAGGCCGAGGCGGGCGCAGGGTGTCCCAGGGCCCTGGAGGGTGGCGAGGCCCATCTCTTTTTTGCTGTTGCCCACAGTATCCTCTTTGCGGACATCGAGGGCTTCACCAGCCTGGCCTCCCAGTGCACCGCGCAGGAACTGGTCATGACCTTGAATGAGCTCTTTGCCCGCTTTGACAAGCTGGCTGCGGTGAGGGTGCTGGGGCTTAAGAGACGGTGCCAACCGAGATGAGCGTGCAAGTGTTGCCGGTGGCAGTTGGGGGTGTGTGTGTGGAGGCAGGGGTTCCGTTGAAGCTGATGGGCTGGGTGTGCTGGGTGACGGTGGCGGGGAGTGAGGGTGACTCTGCATCTCCTTCCCCGTAGGAGAATCACTGCCTGAGGATCAAGATCTTAGGAGACTGTTACTACTGTGTGTCGGGGCTGCCCGAGGCGCGGGCAGACCACGCCCACTGCTGTGTGGAGATGGGGGTGGACATGATCGAGGCCATCTCGTAAGCAGTGCCCCTTCCCAGGCCCACTGGAACTGTGGGTACCCTGGCCGCTCCTCCTCTGACCTGTCTTCAGGAGTTTCCCCGAGTCTTAGTAGCGCTTTATCTTTGAGGTGTATTTCTCACTGGGGAGGAGAGTGGATCTCTCCCCAGTCTGTGGGAAGACCCTTCCAACTTCAGCCTGCCGGGGGGCGGGGTGCAGGGAGCTGGAACAGCGGGGGTCTGTGGCTGCAGAGAATGCCCGCTGTGCGGGCTGGAGCTGGCAACAGCTCGGGCCTATGAGATGCTGGTAGCCCCTGGTTCTCTGACCTTTGGCCTCGAGTCCCAGGGAGCCTCCTGCCCATGTCTAGTCAAAGCTGTGCTTCGCTGCTCTTGCCGCGTCTGCATCTGGCTTTGCCTGGGCTGCTTGGGTTTTCTTAAGTTACATTTATTTACTTACTCCCTGTGTGTATCTATGTATGTCTGGTGCGTGTACAGTTAACTTGGATTTGCTTTCTCCTACTGTATGGGTGCCAGGGGTCAAACTTAGGTAGCCAGGTTTGATAGCAGGTGCCCTTACTGCTGAGCTGTCTTGCTGGCCTTAGCTTGGGTTCTTTGTTTGTTTTGGTTTTTCGAGGTAGGGTTTTTCTGTGTAGCCCTGGCTGTCCTGGAACTTACTCTGTAGACCAGGTAGGTCTCGAACTCACGAAGATCCACCTGCCTCTGCCCCCTGAGTGCTGGGATCGAAGGCGTGTACTACCACCTCTGAGCCTAGCTTGGATTCTTGACTAGAGGATAAAAAGACAGCTAGGGGAACCCAGGAGGCAGAGGCAGGCGGAGCTCTGTGAGCTCGAGGCCAGCCTGGCCCGCAGAGCAAGTTCCGGGACTGGCTGATGTGGAGCTGCCTCTCCCAGGCTGGTCCGCGAGGTGACGGGTGTAAACGTGAACATGCGCGTGGGCATCCACAGCGGGCGCGTGCACTGCGGCGTCCTCGGCCTGCGGAAATGGCAGTTCGATGTGTGGTCCAACGACGTGACCCTGGCCAACCATATGGAGGCTGGGGGCCGGGCCGGGTGAGTGGACGGGTCCAGCCGGTGGCAGGGGGTAGGTGGGGGGGGACAGCCAGGGTCTTACTTCCTGGCCCCACACAGCCGCATCCACATCACCCGGGCCACGCTGCAGTACCTGAATGGGGACTATGAGGTGGAGCCAGGCCGGGGCGGTGAGCGCAACGCGTACCTCAAGGAGCAGTGCATCGAGACCTTCCTCATACTAGGCGCCAGCCAGAAACGGGTCAGGGCCAGGGCAGGGCTGGTGGGACGGGTGGGGGGCGGGGGAAGGAACAGACAGGGAGGTGCTAGCAGAGGCCTTCTTGGGGTCCCACTTCTGAGCCTGCACTCGTGCTGCCCACACAGAAAGAGGAGAAGGCCATGCTGGCCAAGCTGCAGCGGACACGGGCCAACTCCATGGAAGGGCTGGTGCCACGCTGGGTTCCAGACCGCGCCTTCTCCCGGACCAAGGACTCTAAGGCATTCCGCCAGATGGTGAGGGGCTCTCTGCACCGTGACCCGGGGCTTCCACTTTTTGGTCTCCCTTTCTTCCCATAGCTGCCGATCTCCATGTATGTGTTCTGAAATTGGGAGCGGGGAGGATAGTTTACCCAAGTGTGTAAAGTGTGTGGGGACACTCTCAACCTAGTAGCGGAATAGGGAAGGGCAGCTCCTCCCCGCCTCACACCTTCCGTCTCTTTCTTCAGGGCATTGATGATTCAAGCAAAGACAAGTAAGTCTGTGGGATGGGTCTATGGGATGGGTCAATGAGGGAGGGACCCAGCATTCGAAGCCTGGGATGGGCGTGGGAGCAGGGACCTCCCGTTTCTTGTGATATATGCGGCCGGGTACGGCACACACCGCTCACAGCCTTCCCTTGCTGCTGCCCAAGCCCTGCCCCCTCACTGCTTGTCTTGTGGTGTTATTCATGCGTGTCCCATTATCAGTCGGGGCGCCCAGGATGCTCTGAACCCTGAAGATGAGGTGGATGAGTTCCTGGGCCGTGCCATCGATGCCCGTAGCATCGACCAGCTGCGTAAGGACCACGTGCGCCGGTTCCTGCTTACCTTCCAGAGAGACGATCTTGAGAAGAAGGTCTGGGGGATGCAAGGGCAAAAGAATGATGGCTGGAGGGAGGGAGGGCTTGCTGGGAGACTGAACATAAGTGGAAGGAGCAGGAGGACCTTTGGGGGGTGGGAAGAGCTGTTCCTCCTGAGACCCTAGCATTGCCCTGCTCTCGCTGTCCATGCCATCCCTGCCAGGGCAGGACCAGCAGCCAGCTCCATCTCTTTTCTTCCCTCAGTATTCACGGAAAGTAGATCCTCGCTTCGGAGCCTACGTCGCCTGTGCCCTGTTGGTTTTTTGCTTCATCTGTTTCATCCAGCTCCTCATATTTCCACAGTGAGTCCTGTCCCTTTCACTACACCCCAAACGCTCCCAACTCCCATGCAAGCCGCTGGTCTCTGAGATCTGTTCCTGGGCATGGGACAAGAATAGCCATATTTTTTTTGCTGATATTTCCCCTGGACTTACCCTGCTCCAGCTCCTCCCTGATGCTGGGGATCTACGCTGGGATCTTTCTGCTGTTGCTGGTGACTGTGCTCATCTGTACTGTGTGCTCCTGTGGGTCCGTAAGTAGGGGCCTTCCCTGAGACTGTTGGTGAAAGAGGGGGTTCCCACAGTGTCTCGGTAGACCATGTTCTTGGCTGGTCCTCCTTCTTACTGAAGGTTACATCTAACCCTTGGTCTCTTACTACCTCAGGTCTTCCCCAAGGCCCTCCAACGTCTGTCCCGGAGTATCGTCCGCTCACGGGCACACAGTACAGCAGTTGGTATCTTTTCAGTTCTGCTTGTGTTCATCTCTGCCATCGCCAACATGGTAATTCTCCCATGCCTTGTGCTGGACACTTTCTGAGCACTGTGAAAGCGGCCTTCCGGGAGCCTGCTGCCCCTGTGGGTGGGCGGTAACTCTCATTCTCACTCTTCATTTCCCCTTTCTTTGCCATCCCTGAAGATTTTAGTCCCAAAAGCACAAGGCCCCTGGGTGAGGCTCTTGTGACCCTCTCCCACACTGGTGATCCTGATCCATCCCCAACCTTTGCAGTTGACCTGTAATCACACCCCGATAAGGACGTGTGCGGCCCGGATGCTGAACTTAACACCAGCCGATGTCACCGCCTGCCACCTACAACAGCTCAATTACTCTCTGGGACTGGATGTTCCCCTGTGTGAGGGCACCGCACGCACCTGCAGCTTCCCTGAGGTGTCCGAGCAGCATTCAGGCAGAGGGGTTGTTCTGGCACAGTTACCGGCTCCTCCGTGCCAGGCCTAGTGACAGGCACCAGGGAGCCAGGAACTCAAAGCATCCCCCCAACTGTAGGAGCAACTCGGGCCCCTCCTCTGTAGCTGGGCATGGATTGTGAAAGGAGTTGGGGCTGGAAGGTGGCGGAAGGGAGGTTAGTCAGGCAGGGCAGCAGGGGTCTTCCTGCTCTGGGCGTCCTCGGTCTTCGCTGTCACCCAGCGCTGCCTCCGCTGTCACCCTCTCCCCGCAGTACTTCATCGGGAGCGCGCTTCTCAGTCTCTTGGCCAGCTCTGTCTTCCTTCACATCAGCAGCATCGGCAAGCTGGCTATGACCTTTGTCTTGGGGCTCATCTATTTGGTGCTGCTTCTGCTGGGTCCCCCAGCCACTGTCTTCGACAACTACGATCTCCTGCTTGGTGTCCATGGCTTGTAAGTTAATTCTCAGCCCCTTTTATGCCTCTGAGGTCTCTCTGGTCCTCCTGGGCTGAGAGTCTCTGGTACCTGGGCCCTTGGAATGTATGGCTCACTTGTGGGAGAAAGGAAAGGGGAAGAAAGTTCCTGGCATGTGACCTCAGGTAGTTACCCCAGAGAAATTCCAGTTGTGACAAATTCCTGTGTCTTTAGGCTAGCTAAAAATATAAAAAACAAAATCCCCCACTGGGGCTTTCCTACCCATTTTCCCTTTTTTTTTTTTTTAAAGACAGGGTTTTTACTGTGTAGCCCTGGCTGTCCTGGAATTCACTCTGTAGACCAGGCTGGCCTTGAACTCACAGAGATCTGCCTGCCTCTTTCTCACAAGGGCTGGGATTAAAGACATGGACCACCACTGCCCAGCCCTGCCCACTATCTTAAAACATGTCAAGTTTGGTGGTAGCAGAGTTCTGACTAGAAGCCAGCCTTTGTGGCCCTTTGTGATATGTGGCCATAGCTCATGGTAGGAAGAGCTGAGAGTCTGCTGGATTTGCGTCCTTGGTTGGACTGCTTCTCATTAGCCTTGTAACCTTGGCCAAACTAACTTCTCATTGGTCAGTACTACCTGTGTCTCAGGGCAGCGGTTAACTGTCACAGGAACCAACAGTCCTGAAGCCTTATGGCACCTCAAGCACATGTTACACCTTTCAGATGTGGTTCTTGGACCTGAGCCCTACCTCACTGAGGGGGAAACTGAGGCTTCCAGTGTTCTAAGCCCCGTGTCCTGTACTGTTCAGCTGCTAAGTGAGGAGCTCTGACTCGGGAAAGGTTTAACCCTTGCCTGTGCTGAGCTAATGTGTGTGAGCAAAGCTCTACCCGCAGGCTTGCTTAGCGCTCGAGCTCAGCAATGTAGTCTCTGTCTCCCCTCTAGTGTTCCTCCAGCATCCAATGACTTCTGTGTCTTCCCGCCAGGCCTTCCTCCAACGAGACCTTTGACGGGCTGCTCTGGTAAGTGAGGGCTCTGGGACAGCGAAGGATGAGGCTGGCAGAGCTCTCCTTCAGACACCAAGCATGTCTCTGCCTACTTTCAGCCCAGCTGTAGGGAGGGTGGCACTCAAGTATATGACCCCTGTGATTCTGCTGGTTTTTGCCCTGGCACTGTATCTACACGCACAGCAGGTGGAATCAACCGCCCGCCTGGACTTCCTGTGGAAGCTACAGGTGACTGGGCTGGACCTTTGTGGGAGGGAGAGGCTTCTAGGGGCAGATCCTGGGCCAAGCGGAAGTGCATTTCCTGCTAACTGGCTCAGGCGGAGGCTGCCCCAGCCCACCCTGGTTCCATGCCTTCTCCGTGTCCATCTCCTGTCCCCTGTCCCGTCTGTACCTGCCCCCTTCACCCCTTTGCCTGTCGTTTAGGCCTCCTCTGCCTGAGCCTTTCTTCCTCCACACGGTTCCCTCTGATGCCCACCGTCAGGCCTCGGCCACTGCGTCCGCCCCTTGTGAGTGTTGGGCAGTGGGTGACGGATGTGGTGCCCGCAGGCAACAGGGGAGAAGGAGGAGATGGAGGAGCTGCAGGCCTACAACCGGCGGCTGCTGCACAACATTCTGCCCAAGGACGTGGCTGCCCACTTCCTGGCCCGGGAACGCCGCAACGATGAGCTGTACTACCAGTCGTGCGAGTGCGTGGCCGTCATGTTCGCCTCCATCGCCAACTTCTCTGAGTTCTATGTGGAGCTTGAGGCGAACAACGAAGGCGTGGAGTGCCTGCGGCTGCTCAATGAGATCATTGCCGACTTCGACGAGGTGCTCGCTCACTGGCTAGCGCTGACTGGCAGAGTAGGGACAGTCCGGGGAACAGGGAAACGGGGCAGACTTTGGAGGGGAAAGCCACAGACAGGCTGAGTGTCCCTTGCCCAGTCACAGATAGCAGGGCGGTCAGCCTCAGTGGGCCTCATTCCTTGCTGAGGAGCAGAGGAGGACATGAGGCCTAGGTACAGGCTAGGTACTGGGTGATGTGACTGAATCCATACGAGACCAAACAAGATGGCTGGCTTCCCGGATAGTGAGAATGGGAGAAAATGGAAGTGTCCTAGGCAGGTCGCTTGGTCTGTCCCAGGTCAGGGATGGGCTGTTCCCACTCTTCTGGGGGGAAGTCCCCTACCTCACTCTGAGACACAGTTCCCTAAAACATGGTCAGAGTGTTTCTGTTTGAGGGGACCATTATAGTTGCCCTTCTGAGGCTATATCCTCAGGTCCTTGCCTGGGGTCCTGGGCTGCCTACTGCACTGAGAATAGTAATTGGCAGGGGGCTCACCCATTCAAACAATGGGGCTACTGAGGGGAGGGGGCGACAAGGCATGACAGAGAGAGAGCTTTGTCTGTCCCTCTCCCCTCCCCCATGCTGTCCAGATCATCAGTGAGGAGAGGTTCCGGCAGCTGGAGAAGATCAAGACGATTGGCAGCACCTACATGGCGGCCTCGGGGCTGAATGCCAGCACCTATGATCAGGTGGGCCGCTCCCACATCACCGCCCTGGCGGACTATGCCATGCGGCTCATGGAGCAGATGAAACACATCAACGAACACTCTTTCAACAATTTCCAGATGAAGATTGGTGAGGGCCTGGGTCTTGGCACTTTTTTTTTTCGGGGACAGTTTGTGGGTAGAGATGAAGGTATTGGGGTGGGTAGGAGGACGGGGTCTCCATCAGGACTCTGGTGGGGTTTTCACCTCCTACCTTCATGTCAAGTTTTACAGTAAGGACAAAGGGCATTTATTTTGAGTCTTCCATGTGTTGGGTGGGGTCTTTGTCCTAGAGGTTTTGAGTGCATTTTAATTCTCATAACACTCAGGTTAAATAACTCAGCAAAGGTCAGAGGACTTAGAAGGCAGGTTTGTCTAAAGGCCGCTGCCTGCTGTCTGTGTGTGTGGCTGGCATTTCCTCAAAGACATGGTGGAAGGCAGCGGTTAATAGCACAAGGTCTGAAGCCTGGCTCGACTCCCCACAGCTCTGTTTACTGGCCCAGTAAGTCACCCCAGTAACTCACAAGGCCGGGGGCGGCAGCCTTGCGAGCAACAAATGCACAGAGGAGCATTCAGTACATGAGCTGTAGTACAGCAGTAGCTGTCTGGACTTGGGGAGCTACCTCAGCCATCATGCTCAGACTGCCCCGCTTCCCCCGCCACCTTTTTCTAAACCCCCAGAAGAATTGTCCCTCTTCCCCTGGGGCCTTGCTCAGGGTGCAAGGGGAGTTGAATCCTTGGAGAGAGGCTGCAGCACCCCAGCCTCAATCTCTTGTTATTCTCTCTCCTTTAGGGTTGAACATGGGTCCAGTTGTAGCAGGGGTCATTGGGGCCCGGAAGCCACAGTATGACATCTGGGGAAATACGGTGAATGTCTCCAGTCGTATGGACAGCACTGGGGTTCCTGACCGAATACAGGTGAGGGCGATGTGAGCAGAGCTGGGGGAAGGCTAGGTCCAGGGGCTTTCCCGGGTTTGTCAACAGGACAGGGGCAGGGTGGCTGTCTTCTCTGGTTGCTGGGGTAGGGGTTGCGGGGAGGGAGCTAGCCTGATACAGAACTCCTGGGCTTTTTGCCGGTACATCATCAAGGATTCCAGGCTAAGCAGGCTCCCCTCCCACTTCCCCAGGTGACCACGGATCTGTACCAGGTTCTAGCTGCCAAGGGCTACCAACTGGAGTGTCGAGGGGTGGTCAAAGTGAAGGGCAAGGGGGAGATGACCACCTACTTCCTCAATGGGGGGCCCAGCAGTTAGCAGAAAACAGCTGAGATTCAGCGGAAGGGACCAAGATGGGCACTGAGTGGACTTTCTGCCCGCTGGGTGAGCTGTGGCAGGGGCACCGAGCCTCTAGATCTTGCTGACAGCCAAAGGGAATACCCCGGCAGGCTGTGCCTGGACCATGTTTGTCTCCTTCAGAGTGGCGAAGGAGGGGGCACCGAGAGAACTGTCCAAGTGACTTTCATTGGGGTAGAGCTGTTCCTTCTCCTCGCTGTCTTTGGAAGCAGAAGAGAAGGTGGCAGAAGAGGCCGGGAGCCCTCCTGTCTGAGAGAGTGAAATGGCAGCTCTCTGCCTACTGTTTCCCCGTCCTGGGCAACAGGCTCAGGGCTGGATCCTTCCTTTGCCTATTTTTCCTGGGACTATTTTGTACAAAGACTGGGGTGGGCATGAGGAATGCCGATTCCACGCCTGCCTTTGCTTGTTTGCGTCCTCAGCACTGGGCTTGGGAGTTCCCAGTACTAGCCAAGGCTCCTTCCTAAGCACAAGGCAGGGAAGGAGGTGCTGCGGGACCTAGCTCTGGCCACATTTCAGGGGAATGTTTCCATTTGCCAAATTCTAGTCCCGTGATCTGTCCCCAAAGGGGAACAAAGGGACGTCTGACAGCGCAGACTCAGCCCCAATTCCTGCACGCTCCAGGGAAAGGGGTATCTGGCCTCACTGGTACTGTGAAAATGACCAGCCAGAGAGCAAGCCTGTGAGTGGGTACATCAGATCAACGGGGACTGGATGTTGACCCGCAGTGCATAAGAGTGCAGGCGGCCAGGGGGGAAGAGGAGGAAGAGGAGGAGGAGGAGGCTACACTGATCTGAGGCCCCAGTGTGGCCAGGGTCAGCGTCCTTGGCCCAAATGCCCGCTCACTTGCTGTCTGCTGGCAAGGGGGCATGGAGAGTCTCTACCCCTTGCATTGCCAAATAGGAAAGAGTCAGGGTTCCAAGAAAGAAAACCCTGACCTCAAACCTGGCCTCCTAAGTCTGGCACGAGGGAGGACCTGTGTGTTTGTGTAACTGTGTGTGCATGTTGCCTTTGTGTGTGTGTGTGTGTGTGTGTGTGTGTGTGTGTGTAAGTGTTTTCGAGGTCTCTGTGTGTCTTTATGCTCCAGCTCCTCAGCCCTGCACTGGGGGCTGCCTCTCTCCCATGGGCCTCTGTCCTCTGGTGTCACAGGATGGAGAGAAGTGCCCGGGTGGCACAGGAGTGGGATACGGGGTCTGGTAGTGAAGTGACAGTACTCTGGGGAGAGGAGCCCTTTTTGTGCCAAATCCCTAAGTGCCATTAGGGGCCACATGTGCAGTCTGACTGTCTCCAGGCCAAGGGCAGGACCCAAGCACCTGCTTAGAGTTCCTTGCACTTGAACTGATGGAGGTTCGTCGGGTAGAGGCCCAGGCGATCCCGGCTTCCTCAGCTTGTGTCTTGGGGTGTGGTATTCTTTGTGACTGGGATAGTGTGGGATCCCTCTGAGGACCCCGATTTTGGTACTAGGGGGTAGAGCCTGGGAACTTTAAACTTGGCTTTCTCAAGCCTTCCGCCTGGATCTAGCATGGCTAGACTCAGTCCTGGCTCCCAATCCTCACAAAGCCCACCAGGGTTGGGCTCCCTTCCCTTCTGTCCTCGCCTTCCTGTCACCCCTGCAACCTCCTAGACTCTGCCCTGAATTAGTTGGTGCCTTGGTCTGTGTCTGTACCCATTTAAGCCAGAGGCTTCACGCCTCAGTTTTGAAGATCACTTTGTCTTAGAGGCTGACAAGAGAGGCGGAGGAGAGTGAGTTCCGGCGGCATCCGGGGCAGGCAATACTCTCTCCCTTCCTCATGCTTTGCCACAAGTCCTCTACACAGGCCTGGGGTATGGCCTGGTACTGCTGTCCTGGGAATCTCTGGGTACCAGCCAATGGGCCACTAGGCCTGGTTGACCCAGCAGAGGAGAGGAAGCCTAGCTGGTCCAGACAGAAAACTGACTATGTCAACTCCAGCCATATCCCCGGATAGGAAGGGCCACTCGATGCCGTTGGGGTGGGAGCGAGATGTGTACGTAAGCCAAAGTGGGAAGGCCTCGGCTCTGGGTCTGTCTGCTTCTTGTCAGGTGGGAGGGGCTTGTCCACACCCTAACTCCCTGTACCACAGTGCCAGCCATGTCCTTCCCTGAGTTACCGTTGGCCCTTTCCTCGCCAGTTGGTGGAGGAGTCAGGGTCCGGGAGGTCATGGGCTCTGGTTTTCTAATGTAACCACTGTGGGAGTGCAGGAGGGTGGCGTACCATGTATTTCAGTGAAATATTTAATATATTTAAATACCAATAAAATCAAATTCTTTGTAAAAATGCCCCGTTCTCTGCAGCTGCTTGGGCTCCAGGTTGGGGTCAGAGTGACACAGCACGGTAAAGTGGGCAAGGCGCTTGTCCCTGGGATCTGTGGGCCTCTCTCACCTATGACCTAACAGCACCCTATGATTTTCTGCCTGCCTCGGTAGAGCTGCGCTGTCTTCAGAGAACATGACTGCACCGTGAGAACAGATGTGTCTTCCCAGATGTCGACTCTGACCCCTGTCATGCATTAGGTCAAGGCCTCCATGGCTGTCCTTATAGCCCTTCACCTCTCTAGCCTCATCAGGACTCTTACACACTTGCTGTCATAGCAGTCAGGGCATTGGGATGACTCCCCTGTCTCCCACACCCAGTACACACAAGTGCCTTCTGGTTCAGTTGGTTTATTCTTCTTTCTCTACCTCCTCCCCTCTCCCTCTTCAGCTGGGCTTGATGACTCTTCTTCCCTCCCTGCCCTCCTTCCGGTTTTCATTTTGTCCTGTGAGCACATCGTCCTCAGTATAGACTGAAGGTTCTGTCATTGAGAATTGAATGATCCATAAATCTGGAAAAGAGAGAAAATGTCTCAGATTCAGCCAGGCCAGGCTGTAGGGAGCATCCTTAAAAATGATCCTCATGACTGCCTGTGGGCAGGATAGGCAGGGGTGATGAAGTAGGACTACTGATACAGGATGCTGGTGAGGGTAGAAACACCCTCAGGATCCCATAGGATCCTAGACATATTGGTTTTGTGCCTGCTCAGAAGTCCCAGTCATCAAACAAAGCTGCCGATCTCAAACTGTATAGAGGGCACACTGCCCAGTGTCTGAAGCCCACCTTTTCTCCTAAGACTCAAACCTCTTCAAACACCGCTCCCACTCTTTTTTGAGACAGGTTCTATGTAGCTCTGGCTCTCCTGGAACTCTATGTAGAGTCTTGCTTTAAACTCACAGATAACTGGGATCCATTTGCCTTTGCTTCCTGAGTGTTAGGGTTAAAAGTGTGGGTCACTACGCCTGGCTTATTCTCAGCTCATTTTTTCATTTTTGTTTTTCAAGTCAAGGTTTCTCTGTGTAGCCCTGGCTGTCCTAAAACTCGCTCTGTAGACTAGGCTGGCCTTGAACTCAGAGTTCACCTGCCTCCGCCTCCCGAAAGCACCACCACACCTGGCTGTTAGTCTCAACCCTTCAGTGGGGCTGAAACCTGCTTTAGTGAAGGGACAGAGAACTTTCCTGGTCTCCCAGCCTGATTCTTCTCAGCCTAACCTGGTCATTGGGCTTTTGATGAGACAGTGACGTGGACCCTGCATCCATGGAATGACCTTCTCTGGGCGCATGTTCGTGCTGTGAGGCCACCAGAAGCTGAAGTTCTGAGCATCAGTCACAGGGACTTTGAAGACCTGATTGGGGACTGAATGGGTTAGAAGAAAGGCAGGTTATTGATTTTCTCCAGATTCGCTTCTTCTTCCATCTCCTGAGAGAAAGCACAGGCCAGTAACTTTCAGCCAGGTGCAGAGAGGCCCTGGGGAGGTGCTCACCACCCCCTACCTCACTTCCGGATTCCAGTCTCACACCCTTCACGGTCAGATGGGTTAGCCTTGGGTTTTCCTGTTGGTAAGTAAGCCCATCTCTAGGACGGGCCAAGAAGGTGGAGAAATAGGTGGAAAGTAACTTGGGAAGCAAACAAGATGGCGTCTACTGAGTCAGTGTCTGTTCTTAATCATCTTCTGGCTGAAATAATGCTTCCCTTTGCTCATCCTAGGGAAGTCCCTCAAACTAAACAGTGATACCACCCCACTTGAGATACCGTATGCAGATGTTATCAAGTGCCCGTTGCTCAAAATACTGAATGAGGTGCTTGTGTGGGGGTGTACCTCTGGACAGGTACAGTTATGCAGCTCTGCAGTGACACATGGAGGCCAGAGATTCCCAAGGAGCCATCAAAAAAGTCTGTCGCTAGGACCTGGAGCTCAGCATTTAGGCCAGCTGGCTCTGCAGCCAACCAGCCCCAGAGACAAGCCTGTCCCCTCTGCAGCCCAAGGGTTATGAGTGTGCAATGTAAACACCTTCACGACCGAGCCATCTCCGTGTGTGTGTGTGTGTGTGTGTGTATGTGTGTGTGTGAGAGAGAGAGAGAGAGAGAGAGAGAGAGAGAGAGACATGAGTATGCACGTATGCTCACTCCTGGGTACATTTGTGGAGGCCAGGGGTTGATGCTGTCTTCCTCAATTGCTTTGTTTTTAATCTAATGTTTTTAATTAATTAATTAATTTTGGGTTTTGAGACATGGTCTCTTTACATGGCCCTGGCTGTCCTGGAACTTACTATGTGGACCAGGCTGGCTTCAAACTCACAGGGATCTGCCTGCCTCTGCCTTCCAAGTGCTGGGATTAAAGATGTGGGCCACTGTGCCATGCAGAATTCCGTATTTTTAAGATAAATTATGGCCTAATGTTTTCTTCGTAATCTCAGGAATTTTTTAAATCCCTAATTCATTGCCTAAATATTACAGTTTTACCTAGTTGTTTTCCTATTAATTAATAAGTTTTCCAATTTTTTTTTCTATTAGAAATAACTTAAGGCCAGGAGATGATGGTGCATGTTTTTAGTCCCAACACTGAGGAGGCAGAGGCAGGTGGATCTCTAAGAGTTCGAGGCCAGCCTGGTCTACAGAGCCAGTCCCAGGGCAGCCAGGACTGTTAATACCGAGAAACCCTGTGTCTTGGGAAAGGGGGGGGGGGGGATAATTTATATTTGCCTGTTTTGGTGTCTCTACGTTTTTATTTAATTTTGGCCTTACTGTGATGCAGGCCTCTAATCTCAGGAAGGCTGAAGCAGGAGGACCACAAGTTCAAGCCTGAACAATTTAATGAAAACACATCTGAAGATAAAAATATAAAAAAGGACTGATGAGAGAGCCCCGTGGTAGAGTGAAATGGATTGAAAGACCTTGGGTTCAAGCCCCCTGTTTGGGGGAAACAAACAAACACACACACACAGACACACACAAACAACAACCCTCATTTGAAATAATTATAGAGTAGTGGAGTTCTAAGAAGTACTGCTGGGAGATTCTCTGACCCTCAGTGGTGACATTTTACAAGACCATAGTACCCTGCCACATTGGCACGTTGACATATAAAACCATCCAGACAATTCCCAGCTGTCTTGGAATTCTAGAGATAATCCCAAACATCCAGAGTTGCCATCTGTGCCCTCTGGTACGGTGGTCTGTTTGTTCCTACACCTTTGTCACTGAAAGAATAATACACGAATGGAGAACAGATTGTGAGCTTGGAGGGGTTGGACTTTTTAAAGAACCAGAGTTGGAATTTACCGAGGGAGACGTGAGGGAAGGAGGGTGGAGCAGAGTAAGGAACAGCTTTCTTCTGTATTATCATTTTTATTTGTGTATGCACGTGTCTCTTGAGTGTTTGCCACATTCTGGTGCCTGTGGAAGCCAGAAGAGTGTGTCAGATCCCCTGGGAATGGCTTTGTGGGCAGTGAGCTGTCATGTGGGTGCTGGGAACTGAACTTCTGTCCTGTGGAAGAGCAGTAAGCGCTCTTAACCACTGAGCCATCTTTCCAGCCCCAAGAATGGCTTAATGGCTCTCCCTCCCTCTCTCCCTCCCTCCTCTTTCTCTCTGTCTCTCTTTCTTTTCTTTGAGACAGGGTTTCTCTGTGTAGTTCTGGCTGTCCTGGAACTTACTCTGTAGAAAAGGCTGGCCTCAAACTCAGAGATTCACCTGCTTCTGCCTCCCAAGTTCTGGGATTTAAGGTGTGTGCCACCACTGCCTAGCTAGGAACAGCTTTCTTTCTTCTTTCTTTCTTTTTCTCTTTCTTTCTCCTTCCTTCCTTCCTTCCTTCCTTCCTTCCTTCCTTCCTTCCTTCCTTCCTTCCTCCCTCCCTCCCTCCCTCCCTCCCTCCCTCCCTCCTTTCTTTCTTTCTTTCTCTTTCCCTTCCTTTCCTTTCTTTTCCTTCCCTTCCTTCCCTCCCTCCCTTCCTCCCTCCCTCCCTTACTTCTTTCCTCCTTCCCACCTTCCTTTAGTTTTCTGTTTGTTTTTTGAGACAAGTTTCTCTGTCTAGCCCTGGCTGTCCTGGACTTAGTTGGAAACCAGGCTGGCCTTGAATCTCTAGAGTTTCTCCCACCTCTGCCTCCTGAATGCTGGGATTAAAGGCCTGTGCCACTTTGACCAGCCAGGAACAGTTTTCTTTAGAGAACACACTTCCCTGAAGGTTCCTACCACATACTGTATGCATTGAGAGTCTGCTTTACATGCTTTTCTGGATGAAGCTAAAGACCTTCCATTTTTAAGTGGTTGGGAGAGTTAAATGGTCAAAGGAGCTTCCCCAAGGTCACCCAACTTGTTTTGAGTTTAAGCTCAGTTCAGGTTACAAAACTGGTGCCGGCACTCTTCCTCCTCAGCGGTGCAGTGTGACAAAATTCTAAGTGCTTCCATTGTTGTTTCAGCCTTGTGTTGTGGCCCTCACAGTTCTGGGAGACACATACAACAGTACAGAAGAGCACAGCACCCCGTTTCCCCATAGCCATGCCGAACGGTGTCATAGCCATTCTCTGGGAGCTCAGGCTCATTTGTTTTGCACTACAAGGTACTTACAGGTTTTTAGCAGCACCTTCCGCACAGCTTCGTGATACCGCTCGTGGCTGTTCTGGTGGACGGAATAATTACCATCCTCGGAGGCAATTGGGGGGAGCCTACTGGACACCGCATCCTTCTGATCTGAAATGAGAAGTTTCGTTTTGAATACTTGGCAAACAGGGCTACTTTATTCTCTGATTTCCTGGTCTCCATGCCAACTAGGTACATAGCAGGGATCTTTCCTAGCCCTGACATCCAATTCTCAGGATCCTGGGAGTCAAATCATCAAGGCTGTGTAGAGAGGAGGGAGGAAGAAACTCATCATTGCTCAGCACTCCTGACGCCAGGACTCTGAGTGTCTTCCCACTGGGCTCAGGATGCTGGACAGATATTTAGGATGAAAAAGTGGCTTACATTTTCCTGGGAGTGACATGGCTATAGAACTTCAAATGGTCTGACCAGGAAAATTTATGGTATTAAGTCCTGGAAGATAAGCAACAGCCAGGCCAGAGCAGAATCGGAAGGCACTTCAGGCAGCAGGATGGGAGGTGCTTTGGAAGTGTACAGACATGGGGCTTTCTGCTGACCGGAACCTGGAGTGCTGGGTGAGATGGAGAAGATTGGAGGGATCAGTAGGTACATGGTGTTCATCGTGTTCAGGAATTCATCCCCCCCCTTCACTTTCTCCTTAGCTTTTTGATACAGGGTTTCTCTGTGTAATCCTGACTGTACTGGAGCTTGTTTTGTAGACCAGGCTGGCCTGGAACTCTGAGATCCACCTGCCGCTGCCTCCTGAGTGCTAGGATTAAAATCATGCTCTACTGCTTGGCCTGCTCTTATAAAGCAGAGCATGCATCTCACAAAGGACCAGCTCTCCCCTACCTGGCTTCTCAAGATGAAGGAAACAGGCTAGGTTTAGTCCAATACATCCAGATTCTATTCACTCGTCCATTCATTCATTCTTTATTTGTGAGACAGCATCTTACTATGTGGCCCTGGCTGAGTTGGAACTTGCTGTGTAGACCAGGCTGGCCTTGAACTCACAGAGACCTGCCTGCCTCTGCCTCCTGAGTGCTGGGATTTAAGGCGTGGTCTAGATTTTGAGCTGAAGACGAGGCTGCAAGGAGGCAGTGTCCATACAGAGCTTTTGTTAGGGCGCCGGCAGCAGCCGTATCACGTCATGGCATCCTGCCTCTCCTGGCAGCACACAGAGCTGTGTCCTGGGGCCAGCAGTGCCCACCATAACGTCCAAAGTGCAGTAACGTCTGCTAGCATCTCAGAACCCTGAAGTGGGTTATGACACTTTAAGGTGTGGACAGCAGGGCCTGCTCAGGGGTGAAAGGAAGGGCATTGTCTAGGGTTGCTCCAAGATTTCTTTTGGCTGTCCCACCTATTTTGTCACCCAGGCCATTAAGAGGCCCTTTGCCCCTTCTCACCTAGCCAGGCCCCTAAGCTCTTCATCTTATGTTCTCAGTGTCTCCGTTCTGTTTCACGGAGCCCTGGCTCTGACCCACTCTTTTATTTTTATTTTTCCTTCTTATGAGTGCTGGTCAGGAGCTAGGTCAGTATTTACCATTCTCTCTGGAAACCTGAAGATCGCTGACTCATTTGCTGCTGCTGCGGCGAGGATGATGTTTCCTGCTTGTTTCCCTCCTTCATCACCTCGACCCTTCCCTCTCCTTTCTGTCCTCCAAAGGAAACCTTTGATGTTCAGTAGCCAAGGCAATGCCACCCAAGAATGCTGGTCCCCTCTGAGGCTGATGGTGTGGAGGGGATGGCAGTCCTCAAAGCTCTGGGAGAATGCTGTTCTGGGATCTGGGCCTGAGAGCAGGGGCTCATCGCTGCTTAAGCCAAGGGTCCAGCAATGAGGGGTCATTTCCTGGAAATGGTTATCATTTGTGCCTGGTTGTTCAACTTCAGGCAAGATCAAAGTAGCAATATGTCCATGGGCAAATAGCTGTGGATTGAGGAGTGATAGCGGGCGGGTTTCTAGGGGGTGTTGGGGTCTGGGTTGGGAGTAAATTATGGTTCTAAATGCAGTTGACAGCAAGAGCGCCGTCTGGTCCTTAGGCGGCAGACTGTTCTTAAGACACAACTGATGATGCTGTCTGTTATTTCAAAGTGTCTGAGCAGCAGGCTCCCGGCTTCCCACAGGGATGGGAGCTAGGTCTGGAGTCTGCTCCACGCTATCACCCACTTGGATGCCTGCCACTTGAGTCAGGCCTTCACCTTGCTCCTAGGGTTGGCTTCATTTTGTTTTTCATTTTTCTTTTTGCCAAACTGGGAGATATTTTTGATAACGTGCCGCTTTCCCAAACTGCCCGGGTTTGCAGGGTGCCTGAGATGAAGGGCGGATGAGAAACCATCATGGTTACTGAGGGATGCTCTCCATAAAGGACCTCCCGAATCAACATCTCCTTGGCAGGTGGTGCCACAGAGGCTCTTCTTACAGCTAGTGATGCTCTGTCCCGAACAGTCTTTGTGGGGACACAGGGTGTAAGGACCTTGAATAGCTTCCTCTAGAATTGGGCCATAAGTTGCAGATTGCCATAAAACCACATTGAATGCTTTGCCTGCTCTTTGAAGAAACCCTGGGTAGATCTTGTACTCATCATAATCAACGATGCAAAGTTTTGAGTATTATAGGCTGTCCTGTGAGCCAGGGATGGTGCTAGAATCTAGTCACCGCCTGCTTGGCTCAGTGCCTCTGTTGGAACTGAGGCTGGTTGACTCCAGTATTTTCAGTCACTGAGTCACAGACTCAGTGACTCTTTCAAGTCTGATTTCTAGATTAAGGGTTGGTTTCAGGTTCTTGGTTTATAAGGGTGACAAGAATCCAACACACTTTATTGGTGATTGTCTTGGTATTGCTGGCTTACAAATGGTAATACCACTTGAAATTCATACTTGGTCAGGATGAGAGAAAATGGGATGACGTTGTGGGTAAGAATACAGTGACTCCTGGCTGGCTGGCTGGCTGGCCGGCCCAGCATTAGGACTGTTAGCTTGCTGTGCTAACTTGAGAACCAGGGTTCATGTCTTCACACCCACGGAAGCTGGGTATGGCCCCATGCAGGCTGGCCTGTGACTCTAGAGCGGCAGAGATGTAAACAGGGGGTCACTGATACGGTTCTAGTCAAAGTGGGAGCTCCAGCTTCATCAGGAGATCTTGCCTCGGAGGAACAAGGTAGTGAGAGGTAGGACATCGGTGCCCTCCTGTGGCTTGCATGGGAGCACAAGGCATATTCATTCACACATACATGGGCCCGCGTCATATGCATATGGACCACAATGCACCCGCAAGTATATTTTATTTGAAAAGTGACCCCTATCAAATGGTAGTTTTAATCCTTGAAATTGGCCTGGGGACAGTAAGGTGATTTGCTAAAGTATGTTCAGAGAGCCATCTTGTACTGACTGTCTTCCCTGACGAGAGGTAATTATCTGTGCTTTGCGGGGAAGCGGACAGGGGCATGAGCATAGGAGCCCAGACCCTCATCTAGGGCCAGTTCTTTGCTTTTGCGTCTTCCGTTAGTGGCGTGCCCGTACATCTTGAACATAGGGAGAGCAGATGGAGCATGAGCAGCCGAGGGACTTAGTGTTTCAGACTACTTAGGTCAAGTGGATTTTCCACAGATAAAGATGCTTAATACTAACGTGCGCTCCTCTGCAAAGTAGGGGCCATTATTTTACAAAAGGAGCTGGGGATACGGAGAGGTTTGGCCATGTGCCTGGAGGCCACAAACTCACATGTGCCAAAAACATCAGTATAACCTGAGGGACTCGGCTCCAGAGAGACTCTTCCTGAAGTAGCAACATCAAAGTTCCCAGGAGAGATGGAGGAACTTGGACTAAAATCATCAGTCCTCTTACAGATGTGCGCAGATGGTTGGGGGTGGGGAGTGGTTTCAGCGAGTATGTCTGCTCACCTGGAACAGCCTTGAGTTCGGTAGGGGATAGGACATCGTTGTCTTGATACGGAGGGAGAGCCCAAGCTCTCTCAGCTTTTCTGAATGTAGGGGTGTAATTCCCCAAAGTCAGTGCTGGGAGCGGAAAAGACTGGGACTTGGTAGGTTGCTTTCCCCGTGAGTTGGACCAGTCCCAGGGCTGGGGAAAAGCAACGAGGAAAGGCTGAGCCCCTGTAGGTAACGTGGCCCCTCCACGGCCTGTGACGTCACCAGCATGGAAGTGGGCCCCCTCTGGAGGCCTCAACCCTGGCTGTGAACAGCATGAGCATCTCCCGTCCAGTCTCATGGGGATGAGATTGGGTGGCCTGCAGCAGTTATAAGCATATATAGGTTTTCAAGATTCCAGTTCCATAGGGTCATTCCACACATCACAAAGGCAGAAGAGGGTCTGTAGCCAACCTCATAGACTGTGCTGCACAGCCTCCTGTTGAGAAGCTAGAACTACGGCGCCCTCTGCTGGAGGTTACAAGTGCCATTGCTTGTCTCCCAGGAAGTGGGTCACCAGCCAGGCAGCTCAGAGAGATCAAGAAGCCTAGAAGAGCCTAGAAGATTGAGCAGAGTTTATGGCAGGCAGAAGTAGAAAAGTGTTTTCCTCCGTGTGTGTGTGTGTGTGGCCAAAGGACAACCTTGGATGCCAGTTCTTGCCTTATACCCTGTTAAGGACTCGTCTCTCCTTTTGCTCACCTCTGCATGTTTCAGGCTGACTGAACCACATGCCACCACAAACTGCTGTCTCACCACAGGTTGTGACAGGCGTGTGCACTCCTGCACCAGACTTTCACATGTGTTCTGGGGATGAGATCTCAGGTCATTGGGTTCTCCTTGCATGCGCTTTATCCACTAAGCTGTCGCCCCGGTCCGCTTATATTGTACATGCAAGTAAGCTCTGTGTGTCCTAGGACTCACTGCATAGCCTGGATTGCCCTCGCGCTTGCGTTACTCTTCCTGCCTCAGCCTCCCAAGTGCTGGGATGAGGGGCATGAGCTGTCATACAGGGCTCACACTGCTTATTCTGTACGACAGAAAGGTAGCATTGTCAGGTAGGCATCTTCATTTACAGGTAAGGGAAGGAGGGAACGGAAGCGCTGTGAATTTGCAGTGTTAGCGCTTCCACACCGCACAGCTCTGGGTACCTGATGAAACCAGGGCTCTGGCGTTAAGGAGACATTGAAG